CTGAAAGCTCTAAAGTATCCAGACTTAGCTCTGCAAGAAACAGAAAACTGAAAGCAGCCAGCCACAAGTATATATGACTTCCAGAAACGCCGTCATCGCTTGGTACAACAGCTTGAAACTTTTCTCACTCCATTACAATTCATAAAAGTAATCACTCTGTTTAATTTATTGTATATATGTATTTAATCTTCAGGGGCTCTGGAGAAGATGGTCAATTGGGTATTGGAAACAATGAAGAGAAGGAGTGGGCTTGTTCAATTAAAGCTCTAAAATCTGAAAAAGTTTCTTCTGTTGTTGCCGGAAGTAGAAACTCTCTTGCCATTTGTGAAGATGGCAAAGTAAGCTTTCTTTCAATTTTTTCTCTTTACGGATTAATTAATTTATTTATTTTTTAATGTGTGATTTTGGTTTTCTGGGTGTGTTGAATAAGCAGTTATTTACGTGGGGTTGGAATCAAAGAGGAACCTTGGGACACCCACCTGAGACAAAAACAGAGAACATTCCTAGTCAGGTTAAAGCTCTTGCCAATGTGAAAATTGTTCAGGTATGGCAGCTTTAAGTTTTATTTGTGCAAAAGAATTGCTGGAGTTTATTGGTGTAGGTTTTATTGGATTTCTCTGATTGCAGGCGGCAATTGGTGGCTGGCATTGTTTGGCTGTAGATGATCAAGGCAAGGCTTATGCTTGGGGTAGGCCTTTGCTTTATTTCATCTTTATCCTTATTAGTACCATTTTATCTCTAGAACAAGAAGGGTTACAAAAGTATTATTGTATTCCAAATTTATCAGTTTGCATGACTTTTTTTTTTCCAATAAAGAATACAAAAAAGAAAGGATAAGTTTCATTTTTTTTAAGCTTTGGTAGATTATATTCACAAAGTTAACATCTTTGAACTTTGTGGTAATCTGCTTTAGTAGGTTAAGACAACAAAGGCTCACCATCAAGCTATCCTCCATACACATTTTGCCTCTAGTTTAGCAGTCTGCTTTAATAGTTTAGTGTTCAAAATACTGGATTCTGGTGGTTTGGAGCAGTTATTTATTTTTTCAAGTTCATGATCCTTGCAGGTGGTAATGAGTACGGACAATGTGGGGAAGAACCAGAAAGGAAAGATGACACTGGAACGCCCGTAAAGAGAGATATTGTGATCCCTAAGCGTTGTGCCTCTAAGCTTTCTGTTCGTCAGGTGACATTCTCGTACTGTTGATGTATTTCATTTGAGGAGCTGGACGCGTGGAGTTCCTTTCTTTGTTTTGTTGGTTGATGATTCTGCAAAGACTTTTCCTTGTTGCTTTTGGTTCTGTATCCTGATAAATGCTCACTGAATAATGGAGATACAGGCCTATTAACTGCTTTTTCCCTCCTGATATTTATATTATATGCAGCAATGTTCAATGTGTTGCCTTCTTTGCCAATTAACTCCTAATTTCTTTACATAACAGGTAGCTGCTGGTGGTACACACTCTGTTGTTCTTACAAGGGAAGGACAAGTATGGACATGGGGTCAACCATGGCCTCCTGGTGACATGTATGCTCTATTCTAATCATTGGTCTCTAGTAACCATGATATGTATAATAAGTTATTTTCTTGTTTAAGAATTTCATCAGTGCTGCACTAAACCTTGCAGAAAGCAAATTTCTACTCCTGTCCGTGTACAAGGTCTTGCAAGTGTGAGGTTGATTGCAGTAGGGGCCTTTCATAACTTGGCTCTTCTTGATGATGGAGTTCTAATGGCATGGGGTAATAATGAGTATGGGCAACTTGGAACTGGGGATACCCAGCCAAGATCACAACCCATTGCCATTCAAGGGCTATCTGGTCTCACTTTGGTCTGTATCAATCTGTTCTTCTTGTCATTTTGATTATGATTTTGTTTGTAAGATGATTTGTTCTTGATCATTTTGGTCCAACTTCTTCTTCTCCTTATATTTCTCTTCATTTTCTCAAGAAGTATTTATGTGTGTTGAACATTAAGTTGTTCATCATGTTAAGGGACCAGTTGTTCAGTCCAGTTTCTTTGGATATATTACCTTACCAACAAACTTACTGCATGAAAAATACAAGCCCCTACCAATTCTATTGATTTTAGAACAGAAATGGGCCAAAGAGTTATAATGAGTATATAAGATGTATTAATAAAAGAAGTATGTTAGATATTTCTATTTTCATGTCCAGGTTGATATCGCTGCTGGAGGATGGCATTCTGCAGCTTTGACAAATGAGGGAGAGGTATATCTTGTGTTTTAATGTTTTATGTTAGTTCTGCATAATATTTTTTGCTTTGTGTCTCATGTACTTTTTTAACAGCAATCAGTATATATGTTCCTTAAAGATAAAATACACCTCCTCTGAACGTTTTGCATCTGACTCATTGTTATGGTATCTGATCAAAAGATCTCCTGCTCCCTTTTTTTCTGGTTTGCGTCAAACCAAAGTGAAAATACTTTGATGATGGTGCTTTTCTCCCCCCTTTATAAATCTTTTTACATACTAATAATATAGTTCTATGAAGTTGCATATAGTAGGCAATATGCTTTGTTGAGTAGAATACATCAGCTTTTTCTCTCATGCTCACAAGTGATACTTTCTTGGATTGCAAAGGAGGTTGTCAGTATTCTAACAAATAACAATCTCCTCCACAATGCATGACACTCTTTTTGCACTTGAAAATTTGATATTGAGCATTGGGTTGTATGGAGGGTTCCGATGTGAAAGGCTGGCTTCACTCCAAAGCTCTTGAGATGTGAAATATTAAAGCCTGCTTTCTTTAAAATTGTTCTGTTTTGTTATTTATTATCTGTTAAATGATGGAATATATAATAATAGTGCTTGGTTAGCAAGAAGGTCCAATATGAGGTCTATTTGGCAGATAAGTTGTCAAACTTTAGTTCTGTACTTTTGCTTTGTACTTTCTCATGGCCATCATGTCGGAAAGATTGCTTATGGGAGGAGTTCACCTAGATCACTGTGCAGACCTGGCTACACATTCTCCCAGTTTGCTATCTTGTGCCTTGGAAGAACCTCAATACAGAATCATATTCTCATGATCCTCTATAGTCAACAACCTCTGTCAACTGTGTGTTAACTCTGCTTACTGCAGGTTTATGGCTGGGGAAGAGGGGAACATGGTAGACTTGGATTTGGGGATGACAAGAGTAGTAAAATGGTGCCGCAAAAGGTTCAACTTTTAGCTGGGGAGAACATTGTTCAGGTGAGTTGTTTGTATCCTTCATTATCAGTGGGTCTCTTTTCTCCTCATCACTATGGAAGTCACGGTCCTGTGCTTCGTCCACACTCTTTGTATATCTGATGGAAGTGCAAAGCTATGGAATATAACTTGTATGTCCAGGAAAAATGAGAACTACACTTGTGTCCATTATTTTTGGACTGATTTGTTTTTTCTTTCTTTCTTTTCATATTAACTTTATTTTAGACTGAATAAGAGGGCTGCCTTTGCCAGAATCTTATTTGAGACTGAAATATTACTCATCATCTAATTGGCACAAATATGGCAGGAAGTCTCAGAAGTTTCTGAATTAAAACGAAGCTAGTTTATACAAAATTACGTGTAGTTTAAACTACTTTGAAAATATTGCAAGGAGTATTAATAACTGTCGAAGAAATGCAAATGAGAAACACGGCCAAACTTTAAAGGATGAAATAAAGGAAAGACTTTTTTAGCCAACTGTCTCGTCAATTTTTGGGCATACTTAGTATCCATTTGGCATTCTATAATAGGACACTTGTGACCAAACCGATGGGCACGGCCAACTGACCAAAGAAATGCGCGCCTTAAAAATAAAAAAACTGCAGGAAACCAAAATGGAATGTTCTAAAAGTTGGCTGCTTGTGAGACCAATTGGTGTCTGATTCCGAGATGCAACATTTCATTTTGTATCTGTGCTTGTTGGTTCATAATAGAGAGTGGAACTAGAGTAATCTGATTGTGAATGCTCATGCTTGTGATAAGAATTTTGTTTTACTACTATATATGATCTTATCCACCCTTCTCTCTATAGTTTCTGGAGGTGAGTTCTCTTTCTAATGATGCAGGTTTCATGTGGGGGAACACACTCTGTTGCATTAACGCATGATGGTCGAATGTTTTCTGTGAGTACCAGACACTGTTTTCCTTCAAGTTTGCATAAGTTAGCCTCATGTTAAAGCCCATTTTTACTTGTTTATAATCTTCAACGAAAACATGTAATTGTCTTGTCCGAAACTCTCTAAGCCTATTTGTTATAGCAAGAATAACATTCTTGTGGGCAATCCGCGATCCCTTTTTAAGCTTTTGGATAAAATTGAAATGTGAGTGTGTTGAACCACAGTTAAACAGGTATATATTTCCACAATTTGTAGACAACACCTCATATTTCAATTTTGAAACATCCATGATCCATCTCCAAGGGAGAAGTATATTAGAAAATTATTACAGTGACATTTTAAACGTTAGATAAACTGATTGGATATACAGGCGTTTGGTGTAATGGTAGACTAACTACCCTCATCGATAATTATTCTTCTGTATTACTGTGTTTTTGTACTTGGAGATAAAAATAACAGCTGATTGGCTATTTGTAATGTGGCAGTTTGGGCGGGGAGACCATGGACGACTAGGATATGGTAGAAAGTCGACAACTGGTCATCCATCGGAAGTTCCAATAAATATTCCGCCTCCAAGTGGTGATGTCAGCAGCACAGAAGAAGAGCGTTGGTGCGCTAAACTTGTCGCTTGTGGTGGCCGCCATACTTTGGCGAGTGTAGAGTGGCAGACATTTGAGTCTGAGTAGTCACTTTAAAAGTGTCATTTTTAAGTCTGAATTCAGGTAGGTATCTGATTCAGCCGCGTCACTGTTGTATGAGGTGGTTGTACTTTTGTATTATTATTGAGGCAACTGAGGTGGAGAATTCAGAATTTTCTTTTTCTGGTTGGGTTGGCGATTATTGGTACCCTTCTGGGAACTTAGTTAGTACTATCTGCTTCTGTTTATCTACTGGTACTATATTGTGAATAGCCTAATTCTGCCTTCTTCATTGTTGCTTATATTGGAATTCCAGTGCCAGTAGAACCGTTCTCCCGCACACAACACACTAGCGAAAATCTGGTTTATGAACTCTAGTAAACCTAACATTTCAATACAAGAATTATAACCCTTTCACCAAATGTTCCGAATTCCCCATGAACCCAGATTTCATGTACATCTATTTCTTACTGTGACAGTCGATGAAAATTAGAGTGAGATGTAGGTCTTTTAAACCACTACATTGAAGCAAAAACACTTGAGATGCTAAAGTATCTTTACTGTACAAGATTGAGTTTAATCTGCATAATAACATTCTAAGCAATCCACAACGGTGCTGGATGTATTTAACTGGTGTAAACAATTTTGGTATTTTAATCATGGAGGAGCAATTTCAGAGCTGGACCAAGGGAGACCGAGTTGAGCGAGCTAGTGCTGAGGTCCATAGGAACCATAAACAGGGCCATACCTGCTGCGAAAAATCCCAGCGTGCAACAGTAGTATATAGAGTAATTGACTCACCATAGCTATGGTGATCAACGCTTCCAAAGTTTGCTGTCCATTTTACAAAAGTAGTAGGAAATGAAGTCGAATATAATTTTTGTAGCTAAATATGAAATGGTAGAAGTAGAAATCAATGAAGATTAACAGAGACGATTACCAGGCGTTTTCCTCGGTGACCTCCCATTATTATCTGCTTGCAAACAAGGCTGCATCATCAGTTGATCAAACACATTAATCAGCGATGGAATCCTCTAATTAATTATGGTCATATAATCTGTTTGCTCTTTTTTTTAAAAAAAAAAATCTCCCAATCCTCAACAAAAACATTTATTAGGAAGATTATTTATCTAAATAAACTACTCCTCACTCCGTTTTAATTTGTTTGTTTGGTTTTAACTTAAATACGGATTGGAAGTAGTAAGAGGAGTACCCAAAAGCAAGAGCAGTAATGGCCCAAGAGATTATAGCTGAAGAAGCAGCACTAACCAAACTGTGACTAGTCCATTTTCGGAGATGAAAAAACCCAGCTAGCATAGAGGAAGCACCCATTACTCCCCCAATTAATGCAAAAATCAACATAAAACTTGTTGATGGATTCCCACCTAAATCTGTTTTAACACATTTCACAAACACCAGCAATACAATTAAACAAAACTCAAAACACATTCTTATTTTATGAAGAAAGAAATTTAAAGAGATGAGGTGACATACGAGGATGATTCTGTTCGCCATCAATGTATTTGTCAAGTGACCAGCCAGCAAGTCCTAGTACTATTAAATAAACTACTAAGTTTATGACCAACAATGGTCCCATAAAGGTTCTGCCACCTCTTCCCACCGCCATTAATTGATTTAACTTAACTTCTGCTGCTCAGAATCAGAGTTCCACCAATTTTATTTGCAGTATTAGATGTCTTTTTCCGTTGAGTATTGTTGGATACGTGGTTGCTTCACGAGGACTCCATTGTCACCCTTTACAGGTGTCACAAAAATTTGATAACAATAACGCTGGTGGGCTTGCATTTTATGAAGGCGAAATGGTCTGGTGGACCCTTATACTTGTATCAGTTTGTATTCTGAACCTTTTTACTTGCGTCTTTGTCATCTGGACCCTTAAACTCAATTAAAATGAGACTTTTAAGCCCCTCCAACCATGTGTGTAACTCACTCTCCTTTATGTAATTGACATGTCATATCCACGTCAGATATATTAATGCCACATCATAATTATTTCATAACTATTCTTAAAAATTATTAACCAAAATTATTTAATAAAATGTAAAATAATAACATTTTAATTTATTATTGGCATTTCTAATTCTACCTATTTTCCATATTTCACGACCAAAAGAAAGCCATTGCCGGTGTCATCGCCATTTTTTCCGGCGAAATCACATATACTTTCTTCCTCACCCGTCTTCATCTCCACCGCATACCATCACTATTTTTCTTTCCTTTTCCAACCTCCACTGCAACAGCACAACCAAATTCAGAACTACAACTTGCCCGACTAAAGGCAGCCAAGAAGGTGAAAGGAAGAATACATCAACAGATTGGGCACCAAATGGGGGCTTAAGGTTAAAATCAAAATAATACTAATCTCTACACAGTAACTTGCACTAGGAGATCCTTCACCATATCTACAAGCAGATTTTTTAAAGGAGCTAATAACATGAAAGCTCGTACAAAATAGGGCATACTCTCTCAACATAACAAAGTGAGCCAATTTGATTTATCTGAAACACAATAAAGTGAAGTAATCAGAAGATTAGCAGTGAAGTACTAGATCTGGCCACCACACAACCAGATCTGGCCAAACTTTTCGTAATCCAATGCCGATTACTATTTTCGCGCCCCAAATTGCTTACAAATACAATTTCACACCAACCTCTGCCGCGAAACTCGTCGAAATCTACCCAAAATTCGCCTGAGATTTTCTTGGGTTATCGAAACCGGTTGAAAAAGACAAGTTTAAGGGATTAGAAGGAGACGGTTCCTGTGAAAGATTGAAGATGGGGAAGAAAAGGAAGTCTCTAGCATCGAGCCTTGATGAGGTAGATCGAACCATGTATTTGACTTTCTGTAGCGCTGCTAATTCCCTTTCTCAGCTTTATACTCACGCTATGAACCAACATAAATTTTCCTTCCTCTCCGATGAACGCCATGGAATGGTATTGAAATTTGAGATCAGCATGTTAAGCATTCCCTTCCGTTTCTTCGAAGATCTACGGCTCGCCAAGATCTACTTACAAAGTTGAAGTTGCTAAAGTTGGAAAGCTTAAGGAAAGCAATTAAGCTTTGGGCAAGAAGAAATAAATTTTTAATTAATTATTTTAAAAAATATATATTTCTTTCATAATTTAAATATTTTTTTAACCTAAAAAAGTTGTTCACTCGCCTTAAGATGCGTGAAGTCACACACTTTCGCCAACTCAGCCACCTAAAAGACACATAAGCTTGGTCAATGGTCAGAGGGATTGGTTAAATTGTGTTTTATTGAGTTTAAGGGTTCAGATGACAAAGGTGCAAGTAGAAGGGTTCAGAATACAAACTGATACTAGTATAAGGGTCCACCAGACCATTTCGCCTTTTATGAATTAAGCCCATTTTACTGTCGTCCGGAAATATCCATAGCAAATGAAATTATAGCGGAGTGTAATTAGGTGAACTGTACTTATTAAGTTTAATCTTTTTTGCTATTTATGAAATTTCCTTTTTTTTCCTCGAATTTAATTTTTGTATTTTAAAAATAAACGATTTATGTTTAGTGGAGTAGTCCTCTAGAAACTGAAGTTATATTTAAACATAACTTGTTCTGTCCCTAATTACTTATTCACTTTTGAATTGACACATCTATTAAAAAAACAATGATTGACAAAGTGAGTTTTCTATTTTACCCCTATTAATTATGAAGTGGATGAATTAAAAACTTAAGATTTTTAAGAAGTTTTACCTTTTTCAAAGTAATTAATTGAGAATATAATAAGTAATTTTTTTTATCCTTTCTTGATTTGTCAAAATGAACAAGTAATTAGGGTCAAAATAAAATAAAATAGAACAAGTAATTAGTAACAGACGGGGAGTATTAAGCTATGTTAACTATACTTATGTCCCCAAAAAAATTATTTGTTTCCACGGAAATAAATTAAAGAATAACACAAAATAGGTGAAAAACTGCAAATGACCCTTTTCTTCCTCTCAGACTAATTAACTTTTACTATAAAAGACGTAAAACATAATATGTGTTTGATCGCTCACTCTTAACATGGGGGCTCGGATTCGAACCTTCTTGATAGAAAGGGTTTTGCTATGAATCCAAATTAGTCAGGCAAATATATAGAAATTTGCAGAGATCAACAGTAGTTTTTTTGTTGTTGTAAAGCTTATTTATTCAAAATCTGTATATAACACGCCTATATACGTATAAAGGTATAGGGTTTTAAGCACCCTGTTTCAGCTTATATAGAACTTGTCTCCAGCTCCAGCTATTGAGTTGAGAGGAGGTTCTATTACCATAAGCAAAGAAGCAAACAGCAGAATAAAGACTGAGAAGTAAATAAGGGATTTACAAGGATCTGAATATTGTTTAACAAATGTGATTCCTTCTTTTTGACCACTTTCTGAAGATGCAATATTTTCCACTTGAGGACTTGGACATATAAGATAACCATATGCTATTCCCATCAATGTTGCTCCAAAATGTGCCCTGCATACATCACAAACATTGTCAATTTCTTGGTTAAGTTATTATGGAAAACAACTTTTTCTTCTCCCTTTAATTATAATAAGTACTAACCAGTCATCTATAGGCCCAAAGTTGCTTAGTACAAAGCTGATAGCAGTTGCTATTATCGCCTTTTCGATCATGCTTTTAGAAGCTTCTTTTCCTAGCATGTCTTTGTTCTGGACTTGATAAATGAGCCAAGCTCCTATTAGAGCAAAAGCAGGTCCCTAAGAATGTGACAGAGTTGATCAAATAACACTCTATGATATATATCTACATGCTTCAACTCCAAATTTCTGAACATGACAAGATTATTTAATGGCAATACAACTTACAGTTCCTCCAACAGTTGGCTCTGCGGTGTGAAGAAAACTGATGAGGTTACCAGAAATTCCGCCAAGAACATATATCAGGAAAAATGGAAATGAACCATATGCTTTACATACTTGAGGCCCAAAACTTAGAAGCATCCAACAACCAAGGGCTATGTGAAGGACTCCTGAGTGCTGCAACATAGCAGATCAACAATCAAATTAATTGGATTTGCTTATATCCGCTTACATTTACATTATCAACGTAATTTAACAAGCTATCGAGTATTACTTGTCATATCAATAGTTATCTGTAATTATCTTTTAAATGACCTGATATTATAAAAAACATTTATATTGTCAGTATATAAACTTAAAACTCTTACTAACTAATCTATCTGTTCTGTTCTCAACAATAACCATATATACCATGCTACAATAATCTTATTGTATTTCCATACAATTCTAGGCCAATTAATCATGTAAGGACGAACCAATTTTCAATCTTGTACCAGAAACATCGGTGTTAGAAGCCTCCACCATTCACCAAGTAGGATCAAATGATTTATCTTTGCGCCATATACCATTGGTAGTGACAACATCCCTACTTCCGAGTTCCTGACTGGACTAGCTGTCTCGAACAGGAATACTGCAATGTTAATAGAAGCCAGTATTCCTCTGCATCAACATAGGAAAAAGGCATTAGAAATGGTACAAGGTTAGAAATAATGTGCATTACTGAAGAAGCAGTTGCAAGGTTGATTCTTACATCAAGTAAAAACTAGATGATTCTTCGTTCGAACTCTCAATATCTTTAGCTTTTAACTTCATGTACTGTTCTAGTTTCTTAACCCTGCCACCTCTGTTGATCATTTTCATGGAAAAATATGATGCTTCTTCAATTGTACTCTCATCAGAAGCTGAAAATGTATGGAATTTTGGCTCTGCACCAGAATTAAGCATAAAAAACTATCAACTTGGAAGGTTACAAGATCACAACAAAGTAACTGATATAAAGTTAGTCCATTAACTAGCAGTTCTTGCATTCTTACCTTTTCCACGAAAGTAATCCAAAGATCGCAGTGCCTTCTCTGCTTTAGGTCGATGATTTTTGCCTGTTAGTTTTTCTATCTCAATCGAAGATGAAGCTCCCGTGCTATCATGAAGCTTTTGGAAGTAAGAATCTAAGGCTCTCAGTTGCTTCTCCTTATTACTCAATGAAGATTTCACTGTCCAAAACATTCTTCTCTGAGAACTACGCGAAAGCTGGGATACACGAGGAAACATTCTGTTATCCTCCTTATATACATGGCTTAATTTAGGCACAACCTTTTGTGGAATGCATCCCATACTATGAACTTTTCCTAATGATACTGTAGTACTACAGACCATTATGCTTTATTAAGAACTATACTGACTCCTTTACATACTTCATGCTCATTCCTGCTAGTGAACTTGGATATAATTGAGGAAACGTCACCTCTCTTGTACAACTTAACACATTTTAGACAAGCTGATATACTTCTGCAAAAAGAATAAGAGTTCTGTCAGGATCAAATGCACTTTTGTTTTATATATATGGTTTGTTCTGCTATAGTATGACATAGTAATTTATCCTTTCAGAGGCTATATATTTAGCTTATAAAAAAATCATGAATTTATGTTGTTTGGACTTTGGAAACACAGACAACATTTGGGAATTCACCAACCGTTTAATTTAGCGCAATAACCTATTGTTCTCTTCCAGATATCACTGAACTAAATCTCTTGCACAGGATATATATATTTGAAGCACTTGAAAAAACTAGTGGAAACATTCTATAATCATTGTCATGCAAGTTACTATATATTAATGCAACTGAGTTTAATTTATTGCATACATATTCTCCAATATATACTGATAATTTAAATAATTTTTACACTATCAGCGTATTAGAGCAGGGTAAGCACCTTATTTTGACCTGTTGATACAACTTACATAACTATATATTGCAATGAAACATGGATAATATAGAACAACAAAAATAGATCATTAAACCCAACAAAGCCACACCTCATACAAAAACATATAGTACAATATAGTTCCATACTCTGTCCTTAGCCGTACCTTTGTAAGTTAAAAAGACTGTTTTCATTAGAGACTTTAGTTTACTATAAACAAAAAAAAAAGGATCATGAATGTTTTTGTTGGGGTGTATATAATTAAAATAATACAAGACAGTTATATAACGTATATGACCTTAATAGAAGAACTGGAAGAGCTAAATACGTACCAGCGGTCTCAGTTCCATTTAATGCTGGGATTATTTAGAAGATAAAATTGGCTCTAAATTAAAGATAAGAAGTACTTACAAATTAAAGACTTAGAAAGATCCAAATGAAATTGTACCTTATCTCAATTGTCCCACTAAAACTTTGCCAAGTGTAGTTAAAAACTCCCATATCCACTAATTGGATCTTGGGTGGGTCCCACTAAATCTAGTAAAGAAATTTATAAAGGGCCACAGAATCAAATATCTTGAAAAAAAAAGTTTCTTAGGTGCATATATAACATTTTCTTGTTCAGCAAAAAGAAAAAAAAACATTTTCTTCTCCTTTTCTTTTGGTGATTCTGAATTTCGGATATGAAAATTTTAAATTGTTTTTGAATAAAATTTATAGATTTGTAAATTAGGTTAAAAGTTAATTTTTTTTAAAACAAATTAAAAAGCTTTTATTGGACTTTCGAAATCCAACAAATATTACATAGACCTGAATATATGTTTCCATCAATTTGCATTATATAAGAGGGGTGGATTTAATTATGCTGACGTTAATATCTTTATCTTTATGGGATATAAAATCATATTTGCTATAGACTCTCGGCGAAAACAAAAAGCCTTTTCAACATAAACTTTCTAAAATCAAGGCCTTTTTTTCTCTTTCAAAATATAGGACGGTTGCAAGCAATAATACTTATCAAGTTTCACAATATTACTGAGGAAGCGTACAATTTTGGACATGCATGGTAAAGTTTTCAACAGTATATATGTTTGAATAGATTCTTCGATCCGTAGGCACTCCCTGCCATATAGTCAGGGGTGGACCTAAAGGTAGTTGAGGGTTAGACGAACCTCCTGGCAAAAAATTATATTGTATGTATAAAGTATTTTTTTTTTTTTTTTTTTTATGTTTATATTGATTTTGAACCTCTTGAATATAAGATTAGAGCTATGGTTGAGAGGTTCAAAACTCACCTTGAGTTTCCAAATTCAAATCTTAAGCACTATTTTTTTTTCCAACCCCCTAATGGAAATCCTAAATCCGCCCATAGATTTTTTTGTTTCAAACGGAACCACGTGATACTCAAGTGTTACTGTTCATCAGCTCAAAATATTTGGGTTACATATAAGCGTACTACTGTTCATATTTATTTTCTAGTTTACAACACACTGAATCTTCTTGTCTTAAATTGATTATAAATAGTTGCTCTTAAAAAATAGAATAAGAAAAGAGACATTTTTTTTAAACGAACTAATTTTTTTTTAGGATAAACAGATTCAAACGGATGAATGTAAAGTGTTACAAGGAAAAGTACATATATATATATAACATAGCTATAACTAGAAGGCAAAAGAATCTTTAGAGAACATATGGAGTATATATATATATTCAGTTCTGATGGCATTCTTCATGATTGCACTTTAATTTCTCTCATAGCTAGATTTTGTTGTACTATATATCTTCTAAGAAAGAAGAGAGAAATATATAGAGAAGAGACAAGTAATATTGATTTAGCATCCATTTATATCATGGCAAAGAAAGATGTTCTTCTTCTTCTTTATTGATTTACTATGTTTTTTCTCTTTCTGCTTTTGTCTCATGCACAATCTTGGCCTCCATGACAAGCATCCTTGCCTGCTGCATTTAGTACTCTTCTGCTCCTGCTTATTAGTATTATTATTATTTCTCTCACCTTCCAGTTCCAGCTGTTCCTCATTTCTTTTTGTGTCTTCTCTCCCTCTTGTTTCTTTCACTTCCACCTATTAAATATATACACAATATTCAAATGTCAGGCGAATCTAGAATTTCTAGAATATTAGTGCACCGGTCACTTATATAGTGCACCATTTGCTATTCTTGTAGTATGAATGTCATCAGATAATATTATATCAATCTTAAAAAATGTATACATAAAATATCTAGCTAGTTTTATAGAAAAACCACGAATTCACGTGCCTATATTTTATCCATTAAATTTGTCCTTGGCTATAACTTATAAGGTACTTGAAAATAGAATACATATATAGTAAAATCCAATTTGAAGAGGGAGGTGTTGATATGGAAGTGAAAAGAAACTTTTGTTGCATGAATTATTGAGAAGATGACAATTCCTAAAGAATCTTTTAGGTGGAAAGAGCATATATAGCATTTTTGGCTTCCTAAAGTGACTTTCTTTCCCTACTACCACAATTTGTATAACCATTTCTAGTAAAAGTGAAACTACCAAAAAAAAGAAGAAGGGGTGGGTAGTGAAAGCTAGGACGTGTCAGTCGTTGCAAGAAGTGACCACAAAATGCAAGTGATATGATTTCTGCATGTGCATGGGGTACTTAATGCTGAACGATATGCTTTTGGGACCAATTGTATTAGTACTGCATTTCGTAGTTTGGTTTGACATGAAATTTAAGAAAGAAATATTTTTGAAATTTGTGATTTAAGATGGGTCATAGTGTTTATGCGGCTATAAATTAAAATAAATATTTTAAAATAAAACTTTTACCAAATAAAAAAATATATACTTTTTATGTCTCAATTTATGTGGCACTTATCATTTTTTGAGAGTCAAACAGTTTATGTTTGACCAGGAATTTGAGCGTGGAATCTTCAAAATTTTTGAAATTAAATTTATATATTTATAAACTATGTAAAAAGTACTATACGTCTTCACAATTCAAAATAATTAAAAGATAGATGAAAATTTTACGGTCAAAGATAGACTTGTTTGAATTTCGAAATCTGAACAGTGTCACATAAATTGAGACGGAGCAAGTAATTATTTTTGAGATTGACTAAAAAAAGTACTCCCTCTGTCCCTAATTACTTGTCCACTTTTGAATTGACACACATATTAAGAAAACAATTAATGACATAGTGAGTTTACCATTTTACCCCTATTAATTATGAAGTGGATGAAACGTTTTACATTTTTCAAAGTAATTAGTCATTTAATTGAGGGTATAATAGGTAAAAAAAATTGTCCTTTCTTGATTTGTCAAAATGGACAAGTAATTAGGAACAACTATAAAAAAAAAGTGGACAAATAACTAGGTACAGAGGGAGAGTATTATATAAAGTCCTTTCACCTACCTAGTAGAATTAGTACTTCAAGTATAGCACTTCATGCGACCTAGTCAACCTTGACAATCTAGTCTCCATGCTACAATAAGCTAATGTAAAAACTTTTTTTATATTATCAGTCTATTTTAATTTGTAGCAGATTGTAATTAATAGGCTTGCCTCAATTCCAATATACACTTTGAATCTCATTTGCTTCTAGGTGCGTTAAACTTAGTGAAAATTCTGGCTCTGCCACTCATTAGTGCACTCGTAATCTTAACATCATAATAACTAGTGGGAAAAGGAGTTACCTTTTCCTGAGATTTGATTTCAGGAGTAGTCATAGGTGAATCATCAGCTACACAACGTTTTGTTGATCTTTCCTCAATGGATGGAGTACGAGCAGGACTTGGACTCTTTGAACTTAAGTAATTGCCTGGAGTACTACTCTGTGTTCCCACATCTCTTGTAATGCTAACCTTCTCTAAATTGATAAAAATGTACAAGCCATGACAATATGAGATGAAAATAATCGCGACTTGAGTTATATATGTTGTCAGTATTAATAAAAAGAGTTTTACGCTATCAGTATAATTTAACGTACCTTTGGTTGGAATTTGGATTTGTAGTTCATGTGGAGGCAAATGAGGTACTACTTTTGTAGGAGGTTTTGGACGGAATTGTCTAGTCTGATATTGTGAAGGATAAATCAAAGGTGCAGACATGGTTAATTGTCGAAACGATCTCCCACTTAGTGTTTTTGCAGATAAACATTCTAATGGAACTTCCCCTGATAAAGGATTGCATATATATTTCTCAGCTTCATTCCACTTCGAGTTTAAAGCCAATCCATCTGGTGACATGTATTCCCAACTATATGTTGTTTTTGCCTGCAATGCTACATTCAAAAAAACAGAACAAAAAAATCAGTCATGTTGAAAAAAGGAACAATTCAGAAGTGAATTTATTCTGACTCTAGATTCTGAATTCGTTTGATATTATAAAAGGCCTTACCTTTAAGGGCAGTGGTAAAAGAATAAGTTGATGGGTCAATTTCATCTGTAAAAAAGATTATGAGAAATTAAAATACTAGTAATAAAACAAATCATGAGAAGGAAAAATGGGAGAAGTAGTTTTATTACCTCTTAAGGTGATGTAGCCAGGGGAAGAAGCAGTACTAGAAATGGAAATATTTGATCTAAAAGATTTTGCATCTTCTCTAAAACTTCTAATATAAGAAGCTGAAAATCTTCTTGAATTTGTATTTTCTCTTCTAATTTTGGCCTTAAGAGTCCATTCTCTAAGGTTAAAATCTCCATCGTCGCCGCGCCTTCTTGAATTTCCAATAGGTGATTGTGCCATACTAGTTTCTAATTTCATGATTGAAGAAGTTTTGGTCTGGACTTAAAAAAGTTGTTCACTTTTTAAATAGAAGGAAGTAATAAAGGTAGATATATAAATTTCAAAAAGCCTTTTGCCTGCAGAATCAGCAAAAAAAAAAAAAGATGCTAAAAAGAACAGCTGCTCAACAAGTAACTTCCAAAAAACTAAACCTCAGAGATTTCAAATTTAAATTTCCTGTATTTGACAGCAACCCACACCCCTTCTTTTGAAAACAAAATTTTGATAAATAAAAACAAGAAAAAATTATGAGCTAAAAAGTGGGCCAGATAAATATTTTTGTGGTTTATTTGCAAACATAAGTCAAGTGAAATGTCTAATCTAATATTGTGTTTTACATCAAAAAAATGGAGGAGATGTTTGGTGACTAAGTGCAACAGAGTAGGTAAATTTTGGTATATTAAGTATATAATGATCAATTGTTCAATTTCCAATCAAGGGGTTGTGAAATTGAACTATAAAGA